AATTTGAAATTGGAATTTATTTATTTAAAAAAAAAGGTAAGTATATACGTAGATTTTATATAGATTTTATCAGAAGTATTAATAGTTTAATTTATAATTTAAGACTAAAATGAGTAAAGGAAAGGACTAAATTAAGATAATATTGATAACGGCAGACATCGATATAAATTTTTATATTGTTATAGATATTTATATGTATAGTCAAAGCCTACGCTTTGGAAATATAATTTCCAGGTAGTTAAAGGGAATGAACGTAACAATAACTGGATTTCGTTTTAGATTATATGTATAGCTAGCAGCTATAGGCGACAGGCCGACATTGTAGAGTACATATTATTTTCCATATAATGAGCAAAATTCGTAAAACAGTGCGATTATTCAATTCTTCACTCCGCAACAGTGTGACGTTTTCACTTAACAATAATATTTTAACCTAATTTACGAACAATGCAACTCAACTTTTACTTGGTTGTACGTACATGGTACGTACGGTGGTACGTACCATGTACTATATTATGGTTGTACCACGGCTCGAACGGTGTCAGACTACTCTCTCTGAATACCGGCATAAAATAGAAGCTTGATGTTGCTGTGTTTCGTATGGTAAATATAGTGAACCGGAAACTCTTTTTACTAGAAATGAGGTATTCTATCTTAGCCCTCAGGGGTGATAACGGATTTGTATTTAGCAGCTCAATCCTGAGTTTCTTATAATGAGTGTAGAGAACCGGAGAATCATTTTACTAAAAACGAGGCATTACATCCTAGTCCTCAGGGGATCGCATCTGCTTATTTTTTTAAATACTAGCAATGCTATTAAAATTTCTAATATTCCCTTTAAGGCACTCCTGGCAAGCTTAAAATGCTTGTCTTAGGAGTGGTTCACGACAGTAGTCGAATTGTGTATTCGAAGCCACGACCTTTTGAGTTCGCGGTCAGCACCCTGCTATTAGGCTATTGTCGCTTCAAACTATCGCTTACTGATTCTTATTCGAGGATAGATGTAGATGTCTATGGGCCACAGCCTCCACTTACCATCAGGCGGACTGTGTGCTCGTTGATCATCTTTATTCAATTAAAGAAAACCTGGTAGTAAGTGTCGACTGTCGCCCTTGAACAACTGCAACACAGGGGAATAGCAGGTGCGTTATTGGTCTTATAAAAATGAGTAAGCTAGTTTCTAAAAGTTCGTCAGCGGTACATAATTGTAAAATAAAAAAAAATATAGTAAAAAGGACATCTATTAACAATCGATACTGATACATTTACAATACTTCGAAACCAAAGGACAAACGTCAAAACGATATCAACCACTATTAACACCTCATCGAGTTACAGCATCGCACTGCGAGGTGATGCTTTTTTACATTAGTGAAGTGGCATACGAAGATACAGTCCACCTGATGGTAAGTGGCTATTGCAGCATACGGACACCTCCAGCCAAATCCAAACAAAGAAGGTTACGGATGCGTTATGATTATCACCCCTGAGGACTAAGATGGAATGCCTCACCCAGCATGTTCCTGACTATACTGGCTCTCTATACCCTTTAGTCTAGAACACAGCAATGCACTGCTACTTTTTTATAGAATAGGGGTGATAAACGAGCACATAGTCTACGTGATGGTAAGTGGATGCTGTGGCCCAAAAACATCTACATTTATCCTGAATTAAGAATCAAAATGACGGTGCGTTGTCACACCTGACGACTGGGATGCAACGCCTCGTTTCCAGTAAAAAATTCCGTTTCTCTACATTCACCATACAAAACACAGCAGCATTAAGCTGCTATTTTACGCTGGTATTCTGTGAGAGCGTGGTTCAAATGAACGTTTAATAATGCAATTTTAATATTGTTGGTGCCAGCGAGGTTCGAACTTGGGGTGCGCTATTTGTAAGTTTACGGCGAGAGTTTAAAGCTACTACAACTTGAAGTCGTGTCATTGTGATTTTTGTATCATTATACTGTATTTTTAATAGGATAGGGTGACAAACGAGCACACAGTCCGCCTGGTTGCTGCAGCCCAGACATCAAGCTGCTATTTTACGCTGGTATTCTGTGAGAGCATGGTCCTTTCCCGGTGGAGCCGACCCATTGGTGCTACAACCACGTATACATCCATTACATTGATGTAGTTAATTTTGTAACATAATATATTATGATTATAAACAGTCCTTTTAAAATAAAACTGTCAGTTGTAGGTGCGCGTCAGAAGTGAAAACTTCACAGCTTCTCAAACATGTCAACATTATTTTTGGGTTACTAAGAAAGATTTTTATGAAGTATTTTTTTCTAGAAATTATATTTATCAACGTAACTATATAAGTAGTATATAAGTATCTGAGCGTGACAGTCACGCAGGTTCAGCACTTTTTCCCCATCCCAAAATTGCTCAACGTGCCTAACGCATTGACTTATTATATTACTAGCGTAGTTTCTACTTCAAGAATGTCCCGCTGTGTCTTGCTGGTTATTTCCAGAACAGAAGTATTTTCCGAAAAGTAAATTAAACATATGAATGTATTTCAATGAGTATCATTTATAATCTATACTGAATAAATATGTTTTTATTTAATATCTATCGACCATAACAATAATTAAAATCCTGCGGAGTTTCTTCTTTTATCAGTGAAAAAAAAATGTTATATTTAAAATATAAATTTATTTATTATTTGTTAGGATCGTGCCAAATAAAAATCCGTAGTCTCTGCCTACGTCTCTGGGTGAGAATTTATGTTATATTATTTGGATATCTCTACAAACGCATTCAAAACTCTGAACTCCGAAGCATTTGAAACTCCTGCGTATTGGCTTATTAATAAATATATAGCATATACTTGTATAAGTTCTTTCTATATATTTATTGGCAGGCGCTAAAAGTCTACTTTTGTGTTATTAGGTTGTTTATGTTCATAACATTGGCCTAACGTTTTTGTTTAGGTAGTGTAAAACTGTTTAAAAAAAGAGATAGTATTCAATTACAAATTATTTTCTTTGCCGTAATTTGCTGAATGACATCGTGGTCAAGGCAAACGCGAAGTTTTATCACGAATGAGGGTAAGTTAAAATAAATTATAGAGTTGTTGCTGCGCCATTTAAAATCAAATTGAAAAATTCATTTTTAACATCACGATGTACAGTCGTTCGTGACATGACACTGTGAGAGGAAAACAAATATACCACATAACTGTAAGCATAACTTGTTTTGTGTAATATTTTGTCTAGCCTTAGTCTTAACACAGTACTAGAAAACAGGTAGGTACAGCTATATTTCAAGAACGTTACGTTGCATTAAAACAACCAAAACTGTGATATATTTTTATTTACTCACTTTCGTGTGTCTGTTCAAGTCGAATATAGTAATTGATTTTAAACCAATATACCGATTAGCTAGAGATAAAAATATTAAATCTTGAAAAAAAAAACGTGGCTTATTATATCAATACATAAAATTGAAAGATTTCACTTGTTTATTATAAAAAGTGCACGACTTAGATGTATTTTTAGACTTATGTAAATTAGATTGACAAAACAATCAATTATTGATTTTTTAAATGTTTTCATTCGGATGTTCACATCTTTAATATACTTAATGGCTGTGGATTTATTATTATAGGATTATACTTCTGATGATGATTAGTTCTATGAAATCATTAGCATCTCGATATTTAACTGAGTTCAAAATCGAACTTTTTTTTATATTCGACGCGTGTGTTTTTATGTATGTTCACAGATTTCTCGGAAGCGGCTGAATCGATTTAAATTATTTTTCTTTTTTATTATATAGGCTGTACTTCAAGAGTGCTCATATAAATTTGAAGGGTGAAAAAATAGAGGGAAGGAACTTGTGATATTTCATAGACCACTCAAAAGGTTGAAATAATTTAAAAAATATATAAATATTTTTATAGAATAAGGTTGACAAACGAGTACAGAGTTCACCTGACGGCAAGTGGATACTGTGGCCCATCGACATCTACATCTATCCTCGGTTAATAATCAAAATGTAGATGTTTTGTCACCCTGTTAACTACGATGAAATGTCTCGTTTAGGAAGGGTCTCCGGTTCTCTACACTTACCATACGAAATATAGTCGTATAAAGCTGCTATTTTACGCTGGTATTCTGTGAGAGCGTGGTCTTACCCCGGTTGAGCCGACCCATTCGTGCAGCAGTCATAATCAAGCTGCAGCGTGGCTTTACCACGTCGTTTCAATTCTTCATTTTGATTCTTGATCGAGGATAAATGTAGATATCTATGGGCCACAGCACCCATTTACCATCAGGTGGACAATGTGCTTGTATGTTGTATAACACCATTATTCTATAAAGTTTTAAAAAATTTATTTTCAAAAACACAAACAATGCCACTTACATGAAAATAATGATAACATTTTATTAAAATGATTCTAATGGATATTAGAGAAACATTGCCAGTAACTTATCGGTGCCGGTGGGGATCGAACCCCGATTGCTCGCGTATTTATAATTTTTTTGCCTCATTGGGTGGATATTTGCCATAGTTGCCATGCTTGGCTGGCGGGGTAGCAACTGCAGTTTTTTCAATACCTTGAGTTGTTATCAGAAATATCCCTTTCTCCCCTCGCGTCGTCTCTTACGACACCCACGGGAAGATTAGGGGTAGTGGTTTTTTTTACGAAAATATATCAAAACCAGTTGAACCTTTTTTGAGTTTTAGCGAGAATAATGGACAGAAATAGATTTTTATATATTGGTACAGATAAGTACCATCATTTTGTAAGAACTGAAAACCGATGTGGAGAAAAGGTACTCGAGTGGCAAAATCGTACCGGTAAGCGAAGTTTAAGGCAGCCCCCTACTAGATGGAGGTACGACCTGGTAGAGGTGTAGAAAGTCGATGGAGGCAGGTGGGTCAGGACCGTGCTTCGTGGCATTCCTTGGGGGAGGTTTACGTTAAGCAGTGTACTATTGATAGGCTGAAATAAATTGATGCAAAATAAAATATTTTGTAGCCACCATGCTGGATGGCTCGTGTACTGGTGGAGGCGCAGCGGGGGCTACCTTCACAGCAGCACTGCAATTCTTCGCGGCCTCACAGTGCCTACTTAATGAGCCCTGGCCTCAACAATCCACCGTACTGAGTTTGTATTTTGTTCTGAGAACGTTCTAGAACTTATGATTACAGCTCAATGGTACCAAATCCTAGGTTTGAATCCCAGCTAGAGTCAACGTTTGTAGGGTGGTGATAGGACTCCGTATGGGTAGATACTACCCACTTACCTATTACTGCTATAAAATGGCAGAAATGGCACTTTTGTGTTCGGGATGATTACAGACCGTGAGGGCATTACATCTTTACCCTCAGAGGTGACAACGCGTCTGTAGTCTCCTGTGTTTGAAGTTGGCTGCAGGTACTGCAAATGTATTCATCAAATTTATTTGCCATCTCTTTCTTTTTTTCCAACCTCCACAAATTAAAATATTAAGAAAATAATTTAGAATCATATTTAGTCCATCGTATTCGTACCAGCTCCTTCCATTTGAGTTCGAATCGTCGTCGTACGAGCTCTTTCAAAATCTTTTAAATCCACACGATGGCATTTTAATTATTGTTAAAATTTTATATATAACGTCTTTTTTTTGCCCTGCGTGACATGGACTAAAGATAAAACGTCCCAATTAGGACGTTTTTGAGTCTTCACTATGCGCTCGCACTACAAGTCACGGCACGTAAGTCTTGCGCTGAACGAAACGTGAAGGGGATAGCTGTGCACGTATCAGTACGCCAATACCCGTAGCCGTACGCAAGTAGCAGTAGCCAACCAGCGCTTCCCAGCGATACGCACAGCCAATCAGCGCGTGCTAACAATACTATCCCATGTTACCGTATTTTCTACTTATGCGCAATAATGGTCACCGCTAGACTTTCGTGCCGCTAGTTATAAGAACATATCTTCTTTTTTGTATGTAACATCATTGGTGGAATACTAACGTGTTTGAAATAAAAATAAACCATAATCTAATATTACACACAGACACTTCAATTTTATTTATATTGAAGTATCTGCCTGAAATATTGAAATAACCATAAGGCTTTTATTAAGTACCGAGAATTATTTGCATGTATAAAGCTACACCATATTAAGACATAAATAAAAAAATTAAAATTTTTGTCTGTCTGTCTATCGGAACTAATCCTCGGAATTGCTAAACCAATCGTAATGGAACCCCACGAACAGATAGATAATCAATGTCAAGAGGGGATCAAGGCTTGCTGATATTTTATCAGCAAAATTTACATTGATAGATTTTAATCCAGGTGAAGCCGGGCGAATCGCTTGTCTTGAATCTAATGTTAAGTATAATGATTTCAGATGAATCGACGTTCGACTTTATCGTGGTTGGCGGTGGGACAGCTGGTTCTGTCTTGGCGGCGAGGTTGTCGGAACTCAACGTCAAAGTGCTATTGTTAGAGGCTGGAGGAAACCCGCCACAAGAAAGCATTGTAAATACATATAACATAGTAGTTAATCATCTTTTTCTGCTTTATTACTGCTGCACTGTTAAATATTTAGTAAACCGAATACCTATGGAAATTTTTCTATAAGAAATCGTCAGTAGCAGCCCGTAGTCAGGAAGTTGGCGGTGTCTCACCCCCGTGCCTTGGATAGCACGTAAAGCCGTTGTTCCTGCGCCTGATCTCTTTCCGGTCGTGTCGGTCTACCATCGGACTATGAGTGTTGGGCATTATAATCTTGTTCTTGCGACTTGATACCAGTTGCCGTGACCGAAATTGGTCTGGAGAACATTGTTACTTGAAATGGGCGGTAATGAATATGAAAACGATGATGATGTAATCGAGATAGTTTACTGCCATCTATTGGAAGCCATAAGATGTTTGTGACTTTTCTCTTTAATTCCTCTTCCAATAACCACGAGATGAAATGGAATGATAGATGATGATGAACGGCATGATTTTTTTTAAATTCGAGAAAAGCGCACATTTTACGATCTCAAGGCTACAGACAAATATTAGCTACATTCCTTTTATTTGTATCATTGATAAAAAATATAGAAAGTCAGTTGTGCATGTACTTTATATACTTTATACTTTTATTTTATGTATAATCATCCATTACAGCCTATAAAAGTTCACTGTTGAATATAGGCTACCATGTACTGGCGGTATAAGAATATCTATTACCAAACATCGTCAAGTAGGCGCCGAAAGATGAGACAAAGAAAAACCAGGAGATGGTTAGCAGCATCTTCCTAATACCAACTAAAAAATAAAAATCTGCGATTGCTAACCCATCTGCCAAGCATGCCAACTATGCCAAATATTTCCTGTAAGTGGAAAGTGGTGTATGGGGGAGGCCTGTGATCTGCAGCGGACTTTTAATAGGCAGTAACAGAACAAGGGTCTCCCCTATAACTGATAACAATTTTTCGCAGATACCTGGATACAAAAACACAATGAAAGCAAGTCGTTTCGATTGGAACTTCACTACCGTCGACGACAACTTCTCAAGTCAAGCCCTACAAGATGGAAGCCAGCGGCAGCCACGAGGCAAAATGTTAGGAGGAAGTGGATCACTGAATGATATGGTTTATGCAAGAGGCTTTCCCGTAGACTACAATGAGTGGGGTGATATAGTAGGAGAAGAATGGAATTGGAACAATGTGTTGGAATACTTTAAAAAGACTGAACATTTGACAGATGAAAGAATAATTAATGATCCTGAATTAAATAAACATCATGGTTTCGATGGAGCAATAGAGGTTTCTGGGCTTAATGAATCGACATATACGACGGATAGATTCCTTGAAGCATTCGAGGAGTTAGGCTTTCAGTTAGTTAAAGACATGACCTATCCGCAAATTATTGGTGCTGGACGATTTTCTCACACTATTAAAGACGGTAGACGTGACAGTTCTCTTACAGCACTACTTAATAAAGCAGCGAAGAGAGATAACCTGTTCGTTTTAAAAGAGGCACTTGTTGCAAAGGTTTTTATTGAGAATAATACAGCAAGTGGTGTTAAAGTCATTGCGGATGAAGAAGAATTCTATTATTATGCAAAAAAGGAGGTCATTTTGTCGACGGGAACTTTCAATACTCCAAAATTGTTGCTTCTTTCAGGGGTTGGACCAAAGAGACATTTAGATGAATTAGGGATAGACGTCAAACAAGATTTACCTGTGGGTGAAAATCTACATGATCACATCATGGTACTTAGTTATATAGCTGCGGGAAATGGTACATGTAATAGTGATGAGAAGAGCTTGTACCTGGACGCAATCAAATATCTATACGATCGCAGTGGATCTTTATCCAGAACTACGGATGTAGGAGTTTATATCTCTTTGAATGACTCGTATAATAACAACGTTCCTGATTTCGCTATTTATCCAACTTGTATGCCTCAAAATAGTGGTTTCTATGAGGGATGTTTGAATGTTCTAGGATTTAGGCAGCAAATTTGCGAAAAACTGAGCATTGAAAATAAACGCAATGAATTATTATCGTTGGCAGTGGTGTGTTTAAAACCAAAATCAAGAGGTAGAGTTCGTATAAAATCAACGTATTATTTAGATGAACCTGTCATTTATTCGGGAACTTTTAGTGATCTAGAAGATCTGGAAGGATTCCCTAAAATTATGGAGACGGCATGGGCTATCGCAAATACAACTTACTTCCAGACAAAGAATGCTTATGTAATTGATATTGAAGTTGAAGAGTGTAAAGGCCTGGAGGGCAGGAATAAAACAAAATGTATTGCTAAGACAACAGCAATGTCGGCTTGGCATTCAGTCGGAACCGCCGCAATGGGGACAGTGGTAGACTCTGAACTGAAAGTGAAAGGAATTAAAGGTTTGAGAGTCGTAGATGCTAGTGTCATGCCAAAGATTATTCGAGGTAACTCCAACGCACCAGTCGTGATGATTGCAGAAAAAGCCGCTGATTTTATAAAACACAGTTTGGAATTAAGTTGATATCAAGAGTTTAAAATAAATTAAAGAAGAAAATCTCAAATAGTATTAATATATTCTTTAAAAGTTCCTTCCATTTTGCAGTATATGACAATTTATTGATTATAACTTGACGTACTGACAATTTTAATTAAATTTTGATGAAATAACATCACATCCTATTACTTATTTTAGTTTTCGTTAAGTTTCTTGGTGTCACAGTCACGTTGACTTAAAGTAATAGAAACAGCGCGAGATTTTAAATGTGAGTAGCGCTTGAGTACTTGCATATAAGGGTGATAAACAAGCATACAGGCCACCTGATCAGGGTGATTTGTCTTTGTATGAAAGCTCAGCTTGATAGTAAATCAGCATGAAGACAAATCATCTGAGAACAACTTGCACACACACATAATTTGGTTTTTGTGTGTGTTATTAAATATTTACACCTAAAAGGGTAAAAAATTTACTTTAAACAAAAATAAAAGCCGACTTCAAAGAATTAAAAAGAGTAAAATAATGTCAAATTCCAAATGTAAAATTTGAGATTTTTATCCTTTTAAATACTCTGCAGCTTCTACATACACTGTGTTAGCAGCTTAGTACCGACTTCAGAATGTGAAATTATTTTATCCCATTTAGTTCATTAAAATCGACTTAGACTGTTTGTTAAATTTTTTTTACTGATGAGAGATCTAATATGGTAGATTTTTACTTATTTAAAACTATTATTTTCACTTTTCCTAAAAATATCTTCCGAAGACCCCGTTATACAAGAAACGAGGCATTCCATCTTAGTCCTCAGGAACTAATCGCGGATACAGATATCTATGGGCTACAGCATTCACTTACCAGGTGCACTGTGTGCTCGATTGTCACCCTTATTTTATAAAAAAAACCTTTTTTTTACAGGTATTTGTAAGGGACCGTTTAAATTGTTATAATTTATTGATCCATCACTCAAAAACTATTTGACTGGCAGAGGACAAAAGTGAGGGTAGATCGACACTTTAGTAACGAAATGCCATGTAGCTACGGTGTTCCGCAAGGAAGTACACTTGGGCCGACTCTTTTTCTTATATATATTGATGGTCTTTGCAGGTTGAGTATGAGTAATAGCAATCTTATGATGTTCGCAGACGATACTACACTTCTTTTTCACAGTGACAGCTAGACAGAACTACGCAATCTAGTTGAAAAGGAATTAAGCATGATAACAGCATGGCTAGAGGACAACCTTTTGTCTCTGAATACCTATAAAACTAAATATTTATGTTTTAGTAAAACCAAAGCTTCTCTCCAAGAAAATTATCTTAAATTGCGCATACATACTTACCCCTGTAATAGGCAACAATCTGGTGGTAGCGCTACCTGTGATTGCGAATATTTGAGTCAAGTAAACGCTGTAAAATATTTGGGTGTAACTATTGACTATCACCTGAGATGGGATTTACATCTTAATACAGTGGCAAGTCGTATAAGGAAACTTATATATCCTATGTAATGCCTTCGTTCTGTTGCTGACCACAAACTCCTTATGAACTTGTACAAGGCTTTGGGAGAATGTATCATCAATAATCTTGTGGTTTCATGGGGTGGTGCAGCTAAATTCCAAATGATAATTGTTAAAAGAGCCCAAATAAAATTACTAAAAGTTATGTTTAAGCTTCCTTTTCGCTATTCAACTGAAGAACTCTACCAAAACGCTCAGGTACTTACAATTAGAAAGCTATTTATTAAACAAATTATAAGGAGATATCATCGATCAATTCCACCGCCACAACCTAATGTTCTTCAAAGCCGATACCAAGTCCCATTACCTCTTATTGGAAGTGCCCTTGCTCGTAGACAATATGATTTTATAGCACCCCACGTTTATAAAGTTATTAATGAAAAACTAAAAATTGACAAACTAAATCAATATTCTTTAAAATCAGTAATAACTAAGTACTTGCTATCTCAAAATTATGAAGATGCTGAAAATTTACTCTCTCTAACTATATAGTAACACTATCCAACTTACATACATTAAGCATATATACGTATATGTGTAAATTTATATATATATATACATATATATATACGTATATATATATATATATATATATATATATACATATACATATACATATAGTGTATATATATATATACATATACATATATGTATATATATATATGTATGTGTATATATGCTTGCTTATGTATATGTGTAGATATATATGTATATGTTAAATTCACTATAGAAGCACGCAAGCAAATGAACATTTACTGTATGTTAGTTAATTATTAGCTGAATCTTAATTATTCTTAAGTCGCCAGATCTATTGTAATTGTACTAATAGGGGAAGACACTGGTTTCTAAGACACAGTTATTACAACTAGCTTAAAAGCTAGGGTTCCATTTAAATTGTTAAATGATTCGAGGCAAATAAATGAATTATTACTATTATTATTAGTAGAAAATCGTGCGAAGGCTCGAAGGGCCCTCTGGATGCTGGGAAAACCTGAATGGATGGCAACCCTGGCTTCGTTTATGCTATTAAGGTGCGATGACAGGATAGCTAGAGCTTTTTTAAATCGAGTGACCCGCTCCTTAGATACACGACTCGTACAAATATTGCATAACCGTCCAATGAAATATACTTTCAATTTCAATCCACTCAGTACTTAATATTGTTATCTAATGTATTGTTTTGAATATTCATAGCTCAAACGACTGCATACATGATAAATACTTTCACCTTTTATCGATCAGTTATAGAGCATAATGTGATTTTCACTCCATGAAAGGGCCGCCGGTAACGCGATGTAACTATTACGTAATAGTGTCTTCTATAGTAAAAGTAATGATTGTATATTGTTTTGTTGATACGTGATCCGTGTACGAGGCGGCAGGGACATCCTCATGTATTACAGAAGCAGGGTAATATTTTGGCAAATCTATATAATTACATAATAAGGGTGCCAAACGAGCACAGTCCACCTGATGGTACGTGGATGTTGTGGCCTATAGACTTAGCTACATTTATCCTCAATCAAGAATCAAAGATCTCTCTGTGTGTGGTTCTACCACGTATAACAAATGAATACGTGAAGTGTAAATTTTGTACCGTTTTTGAGTCACAGTTAATTTTTATATCGAAAAGGAGTGCAGAAAGCTAAAATTTATAATGTGTAACAAATACATTAAAATAAATCAAGTAAAATACTACAGTTCACGTTTATACTTCCAATGTCAATTGTCAAACAAACAACAGTCTAAGGTCTACAAATAGTCGCACAGAGTATGTTAAGATTTTCATCAAAGAATTGTAAAATGTTGCTAACGAAATAATTACTAACAGATTGACTGAATGAGCAATGAATCTTGCTTGAAATATAATGTTGGAAGGTTAAGGATAAACGTGTTGATCTTGGACTTTAATTAGACTACCCAAACTTATTCTACCTTAACTAAATAAAAAACTAATACATGTCTTTACCTATGAAATTGCCGTTTTGCAGTACTGGCCATTTCAAAAAAAAAAAATTGTTTAGCTAAGAACTCTAATTACAAATTAATCTTATTTTAAAAACATAGATTTTTTTAAATTAGTCATTTGTTTATTGATTAGCAAATTGTTTTCATTACAATTGAATCTTTTTCGACCTCACCGATACGTTGAAAATTCGAGTAATTACGGAAAATGAGTACCGTCGTGGCAGCATCGCGGCACAAGCGGTAAGCAACATAAACAATGTTTACGCGAAGCAAATAGGTACTACAAACCAACGCAGCATCTATTATTGGTTTGCCCGCTTCCGTTCTGGAAATTTTGACCTGAAAAATGAGCCCCGTGGTCGTCTGAAAACTTTGGTTGACAATGACGAATTAAAGGCGATTGTGGAAGCTGATGATACTCAATCTACGGCTGAGCTAGCACCAAAACAATATTAGTCCATTGCGTCAAATTGGCAAGGTAAAAAAGCTTGATAAATGCGTGCCCCATGAACTCAATGATCTCAAGCGAGAAGTACGCTTCGAGGTATGCCTTGCACTGCTCAACAGGCACACAAACAAAGGAATTTGGAACCGCATTGTTGCCTGCAACGAAAAATGGTTTCTGTTTGACAACCGGAAGTGCTCAGCAAGTTGGTTAAGTCTCGGTTCAGAACCTAAACAATGCCCTACACGAAACCTCCAGGGAAATGATGGTCACTGTTTGTTGGTCTAGCACCGGTGTGATTCATCACATCTTCTTACCAAACGGGAGTAGCATTACTGCAGATGTGTACTATGAAGAACTGAATACAATGTGGAAGCTCAGACGTCTCCAACTAGTTTTGATCAATTCATCATCTCTGTTCTTCCCGCTGCTCCGCTGTTCGCATGTTGTCATACGTGCGACCTCATACTGCACAACAGTCGTTCTTTAAGTTACAGGAGCTAGGGTTGTAAGCTCTCCGTCATCCGCCGTATTCACTAGACTTTGTGCCTACAAACTTCTACTTTTTCCAGAAAGTGAATTACTTTTTCCAGAAAGTGAATAACTTTTTGGCGGAAAAAAATTCTATACCTAAAATATACAATAAACAGGCAGTACAAAATGCTTCTGAAGAATTTGTTGCCTCCCGTTCAGTTGATTTGATTTCTTCAATAATGGCATCAATAAACTGCCACTGCGTTGACAAAGATGTGTCGATTGCATGGTTGATTAGTGATTACTTTGAGTAATAGAAATAAAATTAAGTTAACTTATTTTATAAAAAATGGCAATTTCATAGGTAAAGACCTAATATAATAATATATTTATAGTCGTGGGGACTACACTACAAGAATATTGTGTGATTAGGAGTCTATTATTAAGAAACAAAGAACACAATTGCAGTGATCTAACTAATGTAGACATAGACTACATTAGTTAGATCACTGCAATTGGGTTCTTTGTTTCTTAATAATAATTTCATCACCATCATTATTATAGCCACCAACAGGTGCATTGTTAAACATAGGCCTGCCCTCAGCCACTAAACACGATCCTGAG